GGGGGGGGGTCGGCCTGGAGGCGGGGCTATGGCATGGGATGAGGTGACCAGAGCGAGAAGCGCCGACACGTGTCCTGTTGCAGGCACAGGGCGGGGGCAGTCCCCGGGGAACCGTCCGCCGATACAGCCCACCCCGGGCCTACCTCCCCGCCCGCCGCGCCCGCACGCCGCTCCCGCTCCGCCCCGCCTGGCGGAGACCCGCCCCTTCCCGCTCCCCTCCCGGCTAGCTCAGATCCTGCCCGCCCTCCGGTCCCCGAGGGTTCCCGCGGCTCCGGGAGCGATCGGCTGCCCTGGGGTGCAGGGCGAAGTCATGCCACTGCCAGCCATCCTTGCAGCAACCCGGGTGGAACTGATTCGGATTCGGACCCCTCCTGGGGACTTGCCTTTGCCCGGGCTGGGCGGGTGGAGCCTGCCTGCCTCACCTTGGGAATTGCTGCAACCTGTAGAATCTGTTCCTTCCAAAGCTGATGGGCACCCGGGGAAACTGAGCTCGCAGTGGCTCAAGGTTTTCTTACGGTACCGTAGCAGGGCCACAGGTCCTCCCCTCTCTACCTTACAGCCTCCGGAATTCTCTGAATAGCCCAAATGTCTGACCTTAGATGTCCCAAGATCCTCTTCCCTTGAAAGGCTGTGACAGGAAGCCTGGGAAAACAAGCAACGGAAAGCAAAGGGAACAGTGACCTAACCCGGCAAAAGGGAAAAGACGGAACTCCAGGGATGATGAGTTGACTCAGCAGGTACAGGCGCTTGCCACGGAGCCTGACTACCTGAGTTAGATTCCCGGATTCCACCCACGTGGAAGGAGAGCCCCCCCCAACCCCAACTCCAGCAATTTGTTTTCTGACATCCACACCTGCGCCATAGCACATGTGCATCCACACACATATACAACACACAATAAACAAGCAAACCAATAAATTTTTTGTTTTTTGTTTTTGTCTTTTTGAGGCAGAGTCTCCCTGTAGTCCCAGCTGACCTGAGCTCACTATGTAGACCAGGCTGGCCTTGAACTCACAAAGATCTGCCTGCCTCTGCCTCCCAAGTGCTGGGATTAAAGGCATGGGCTACAATGCCCAGCCTATAAATAAATATTTTTAAAAGATTTCCTTCTTATCTTTGGCTTTCAATATATATATTTACATATTCAGTCATTTTTTGAGACAGCGTTTCCCTGTAGCCCCAGCTGACCTAGAACTCAATATGTAGAACAGGCTGACCTTGAACTCACAGAGATCATCCTGCCTCTGCCTCCCAAGTGTTGGGATTAAAGCTGTGCACCACCATGCCTGACTTGGCTTCCAATATATTTTTTTAGAGATTTTATTTATTATTTTTATTTTATGTGTATGACTGTATTGCCTGTACGTATGTAAGTGCACCTGTGTTGTACAATGCCTACAGAAGTCAGAAGAAGGCGTTGGATCCCCTGGAACTGTAGTCACCGACAGTTGTTAGCTGACATGTGGGTGCTAGGAATTGAACCTGGGTTCTCTACAAAAGCAGCTAGTGCTCTTAACTGCTGAGCCATCTCTCCAGCCTGACTTTCAATATTTTTGTCATGATGTATTTATGATTAATTCTCTCTGGATTTTCAGCTTTTTTTTCTTTTTTCATTTTTGGTCTTTTTGAGACAGGGTCTCCCTGTAGCCCCAGCTGGCCTGGGACTCACTATGTAGACCAGGCTGGCCTTGAACTCACAGAGATCCACCTGCCTCTGCTTCCCAAGTGCTGGGAGTGTTCAGCTATTTTTTTAAAAATTCTTTTTGATCATACTCTTTCCCAGATTGACCTTGAACAAAACAAAACAATAATTTCTCCCTTTTCTGCTGTTCTCTATTTGGTATGACATTGTCCTTACTACTTTTCTTCTTTAACCACAGTTCTTTGCTTCTTGGATTTATTTATAATGGTACTTTTGAAGGCTGGGCTGTTAACCTGACATCTGGTCACTTGCACAGACAGTTTCCATTGCTTGCTTTTTGTTTTCAGCAGATGAGTCATATTTTCCTGTTTCTTTGCTTGTCTCCTGAGTTTCTGTTGTAGAAAGGGCTTTTGAGTGAACATGCTGCTATTTCCCCTTCTAGTTGGGGCTTGTTATTATGCTTTGCTTGTTCATTCATTAGTGAAGTCTGTATTACTTTGGTGGAAGGTATCAAGTCCATTTCCCTCTTAAGTGTTAGGCCTCTAAAGTTGCCACTCATACAATATGGGCATGTGGGGATCTCCGGGCGCCAGCTGCTGGGCGTGGCGCCCGTCTCCCACACGTCGCTGGAGTGCGGCAGGTCCCGCGGTCCGCGTCTGCTGTTTGGGTCCCTGGCTCTCCGCCACTGGGGTGCGCGGGTTTCTGCGCACCGCGCTGCTGAGAGTCTCTGCTACCGGAACTGGCGGCTCTAGGACCGCTGTCAGCTGCCTGGTAGGGTTCCGTTTCAATTTCCACCATGCACTCCCTCTAAGCTCCAGACCCGTTGGCCACCAGGTCACGAGGGGAAGTGCGAGAAACGGCGAAAGCAGGGTCTTCGTGAGTCGATGACGGAAGGATAGCGCCCCCCGGGGAGACTGGATCACAGGATTTAGTGTTACAGCTTCAGACAAGTGACTCAGCTCAGATCTCAGTGATTCAGTTCCAGCTTTATTGGGGTAAAACCTTAGCTGATAGGTGCTCCTGGAATGCTTCATTTACATAGGGCGGTGGGCTTCTATCAGGCTATCAGATAATGCCTGATTAAAGCCTGGTAGTTTCTGTGCCAGAGGGCATGTACCTGTGATGGGCATTTCAAAAGTAAGTCAGGGAGGAGAGCAGGAGGCGCCCCGCTGAGAAAGGGAGTCTCCCCATTTGCGCTGAGCTGGCTTGCAGCTATCCAGACATGGGGAGACTGCTACCCTAAACAGCAGGGGTCCCCAACAACCAAGGAACGGAACCACATCCTTTGGGAATGCAGACGCTCGGTCCCTGGAAATGATGGGCGACCGACAGAGAATGATAATTTGATAATGGCCGCTTTCCCTCTCACATGCCCAACAGAGGTGTGGGACTGTAACACTCCTGAAGACCAACCCTCCTACCTGTTTTGTAGCAATTTTCAGCAATGACAGTAATTTGTTGATGAAGAAATCTTATAAAACAGTGAGCAAGTATCAAAATAATATACAGTATTACCGAGGGGCCAACAAGGGATTACTAAAACCAACCTAATTGTTTGGTGGGTGAAATCTTGAAAATGGATCATTACAGAGTGTTAACATTGGTTTCAACAACATTTGATTCATTTACAAAGAAACAGCATTTTTTCCCAATACTATACACATACCCCTCCCCATGTTTATTAAGCCCAGTGTTCTTCTGTTGTGAAGCACAGCCTTGGCGAGAGAGTTCATTTGCTGTTGGAGAGATTCCAGGCTTCAGTCGCAGATGTCATTGCTTAGTCCAGCTTGTCTCAGCCAGAGCAGAATCAGGTGTAGCTTGTAGCAGTTGTTGCCATAGCAACGCCTCCAGCATCCAGTGCAAGTTCGATCTCTACCAGCAGGGGGAAGAAGATTTTTCTCTGCTAGCAGCTGTGTAGGAGAAAAAGGCTTCTCACACCTGGAATGTACTAGTACACAAAAGGTGGACAGAGAGATTAACACAGTTTTGGGCTTCTTTCTCATACCATATGAAGAGAGGAGGGGCGATGCATGCTGTGCTGGAGAGAGTAGTTAGTGAGGCATTTGTAATGAGTAGGCTTGCTTGCTGAAAATGAAAATTAAATAATTAGCCAGTTTGAATCAGTAGGTATCCACTAGATGAGAGTCAGTGAAATCTTTTTCTGTTAAAAAGGCAGTTAAACATTGGGGTAGGTGGTGAAGGGAAGAAAGTTAGACTTGTTCCAGGACATAGTCGATCTTATCTGGTCCTCTGTTTGTCTTTCCTGTAGAATAATATTATGACAAGTTAGCACAGACTTAGCTGCAGGTGCAAGCTGTGGAGAGATATGAAAGTCAGCTGTGGGGTACCTAGAGCATGCACCTGAGTAGAATTCTGTTATTACTCCAATACTCCAGCGATTGTCCCATGGATCTGATTTTTTCCTGAAAAATAAAATCTCTAGAAAAAGTCTGGGAGAGCCTCAGTTGGTGTTTGTTTTAAAAAAAGTTAATGAAGAAGTCTCTCCAGGCCCGGTGGACAAGGGGGTTAGGCGGTCCCAGGCCTGTAGTGCACATAAGCAGACCTGCTCAAAACAGCCAGTAGGAATCACAGCCTGCTGGATTCCTATGGAAAGGTTGCCCTGGCCAAAAAGCTGGTCATAGTTCCAATCTATGAATCCAGGTGGTGGATCCTGCCCTGGTTGGGGTCTTAGCTGTTGATTATGAGTGTCATTTCTTTGAGCCTGCATTAGGCACTCATCTCTAAATAAGGCCTCCCATTGTACAAATAATGGACTGGGGAGGGTAGACCTACAGATATCCCTCCAGTCCTGGGGGGTAAGCAGATTAGTATTAAATGTTCGTAGTATAGATTTTGTCCATGGAGCTTGAATTCCATCCTCACGGACAGTGTCTTTAAGTTCCGCTGCTGGGAGTGGGAACCAGGCTAGTGGGTGTTGCCTTGTTATTTGTAAGTTAACAGGAAAAGCCTCTACCGGTGGGATTTGGGGGTCCTGAGGCCATTGAGGCTGGTGACTTCCACTATCCCTAAGATTACACAGTTGCTCTGTGGCTGTAGGACGTGGCTGGAACAGCATCACAGGCGGTGGCAGAGCCGCAGGATGTGGCGGCAGCCAAGGTGAAGGGGGAGGGGAATTTATCTGAGGATCTTTGGGAGCATTTGAAGTCTGGGTGTTAATATCTGGGCTTGTTAAATCAGCAAGGGGGGGTAAGAGTTAAT